AGGTAGGGGGGTAGTAGGTCAGAGAGGTAGGAGGGAGCGAGGCCGTGAATGGCCTTGTAGGTGAGGATGAGGAGCTTGAATTCGAGAATATAACTGTGGAACGGCAGCAAAGTGGAAGCAAGTGTTGTAAACCAAGCTGTAAACAGCTTTTGAATACTGAGCTTCCTCGTCACTAACAGATAAGTTTGACAAGCCTGCGATAAGGGGCCACGGAGATAGTTTAGTTGGCTGGGAACAGCCTTACGCTCAGGCTGTGTGTCAGAAGCCACGACGTAAACTGTCTCACTTCATCATTAATTAGCAGAGGATCTGGGTTCGATTCCCGGGTGGGGTGAAACATCAGGTAAGTTTCCTTATTCCACACACCTCTGTTTACCTCACAGTAAGTAGGAACCCGGTTGTTAGTCGATTGGCGGATCACTTTTCTGGGGGTAATAATCACTTAAAAATAATAATAATTTGGTCACTCAATCCATGACTATTTGTGGGACGCTGCTGTGCCCAATTGGCTGCTGCGTTTCGCCCACAAAATACACAGCCAATTCCGTTTACAGTATATCCTGTGAAGCGCTTTGAGACGTCTGGAATATGTGATAAGGCGCTATATCAAATGCAAGGATTATTATTATTATTATATCAGATGCAAGGATTATAATTATTAACACTTGTTCCACAGATACCTCAGCAATAATGTGAATGGTTATCGGGAGGTCCTCTCTCAGTGAGGGGGTGAGACGTGTTGGTGGTTTGTGTTAGGAAGTTTGAAAATAGCAGCGGCCACAGTAAGATTTACGAGTTATTACTCAGAGTAGAGACAGGAGAACTAGCAGTGAGTAACAGGCATCACGTACTACCGTGTGTGTGTGTGTATGTAATAGTAATCCTTGCATCCTATGTCCTTTCCTTATACAAAAGAATGCAAATACTTTATGCAAAATACTGCAGATGCTGGAAATCTAAAATAGAAACAGAAGTGACTGGGAACATCCAGCGGGTCAGGCAGCATCTATGGAGAGTGGAGAAAGTGAGTCGGGGTTTCAAGTGAATGACCACTTCGCGTCACCAGTTCCGCCGAAAGGTCATTGACGTTCCTCTCTCCATAGATGCTGTGTGTTCCCGGCCACTTCTGTTTCTTTATGACATGTGCTGTGTGTGTGTGTGTGTGTGTCTGGAGGATGTAAAGATGGGCCAAATAATAAGGCCTTCGGGCTGTTTTTCGGGGCCTTGTGACATCCTCCGACGTGAAAGGCGCTAGACAAATTTTTGTGTCGTCTCGTGTTGTTTCTGGAGGTGGGCAATTTCTCTCCCAACCGTTCTGAAAGCCTCCAACGCCTATTATGTCAGTGAGTGTGAAAGCGTATGAGTGTGTAAGAAAGAGAGAGAGAGAGAGAGAGAGTGTGTGTATGTGTGCGTTTGTGGCAGTGCGTGATTCCCCGAGCAACTGAGTCACTGGTGATGAATCCCATTGAGGACCACTGATTTTCAACCCCATCCGAATTATACGACTGATAATGTGGGTGGAACGTAAATGCAATGTGCGTGCACTGCAACATGACACCGTCAGACTCCCCCCTGCGTGAGGGGAGATGTAGAAATGCCAGTTGTAAGAGGTTCGGTGGCCTGAGCAGTGATTTGACGTTAGATTAAGACCAGCGCACGTATCGGTTTATTGTCAGGGTTTGCATACCTCATACAGACACCTTCTGTGGTTCTGTTATCGCTGAACTGCCATTAGTCTGTTTACAGGAAATCAGCTCATGGGGTGAAACTCTCAGATTGCCTATTGCGTCTAATACAAAAAGGTGTAATAATAACAGCTCTGCAAATTCAAGGGAAAGCTTCAATGTTCTCAAAAGAATTCAGATGCTTTTCCTTCCCCCCCCCCCCCCCCCCCCCCCCCCCCCCCCCCCCCCCCCCCCGCCAACCACACACACACTTGCACAAACATACACCCTCTCACATACTCATATACTCTCAGAAACACTGACATGATAGCCACTGGAGCTTTCTACAAAGGTTGGAGGGAAGTTCCCCACCTCCACAAACCCCAAGAGATAGCGATATTATTTGTCCCATCTTTGCATCTTCTACACGCAGCACATCGATAAAGGAACATGAGCACATAAAATGCGAGGATTGCTATTTATAAACGTGCACATCAACACACAGTACAATATAAGCAGTGAAATAAGTACCACGCATGTATATACACACGCGTGTATACATACACACACACCACACGTATACATACACATACAGACATGTTCGCATACACACGTGTGTATATATACACACACATATATACACACACACGTATACACACGTATACATACACGTATACATAAATACATATACATACACACATGTATAGATACACACACGTATGCATACACACAGACATGTATTCATACACACACATGTATATATGCACACACACATATACAAACACACACATATACACACATACAGACACACACACACACACACACACACGTATACATACATACGTATACATACACAGGGACTCACGCATATAGATAACCTGATGCACACGCTTACACATATACACGAAACAGCATAATAACCTCAATGGGTACGAGGTATATGGTCAAGTACTCTGAGACATTACCCTGCGTGAAGGCCAGTTGATAGTTGTTGCAAGTTGTTGTTGTATAGTTTCCAACATAAAGTGCTGTCCACCCCTCATGACAGGCGCGATATAGTTGTTGTTGTTGTTACTCCTTATTAGGACTGACAGCTCCCTGCACGGGATGCTTTCCGCATGTACCTTCCATTAGAATGAAAAAAAAGCCATTTGGCCCAACAGGTCGATGAGCTAACACTGCCGGCGTTCATTTATTAAGCAAAATACCGACTCTGTGTTTTCTAGATAACCTGACTTGACTCTTAAGTTATTTCATGCAGTCACACGGTAGTCAAACAGTATCGAACCCTTACCAGTCTCTGAGCATCTGGCCATTTCCACACTGGCTGTCACCTCAAATGTTTAACACCTGCCCTGCAGATTAGCGTTACCTTCAACCCAGCCAACAGTCATTAACTAACGGCCTGGCAGCTCTGAATGGCAGAGGCAATGTAGTCATTGCGCGGCACAGTAACGCTGGGCCCAGGAGCTGGAATTTGCTGACATCCTTATTAAAAATACTTTGTGTGTTTCACATCGTGCCTTTAACCTCGAAGCATTTCACAGGGAACTGCTGTCAAGTTGTTTTGTTGGGAAGAACTGCGACTAACTTGTGTGTAGCAAGGTCCCGCGAAGAGCCATGTGTGTTTATCTGGAGCATTGGTATTGTAATATTAATAATAATCCTTACATCTTTTACAGCGCCTTATCTCAGCGTTGAGGTGTCTCAAAACACTTCACGAGATACGCTGTAAAGTGGATTGGCTGTGTATTTTGTGGGCAAAACGCAGCAGCCACATTTTTTTTTAACAGGGATTTTTATCCCTGGAAAGGGATCCGCCAGTCGATTGACAAAAGGGATTCCTACTGACTGCTAGGTATACAGAGGCGTGTGGAGTATGGAACCTTGCCTCGGATTTCGCCCCACCTGGGAGTCAAACCCGGTCCTTTCGCTTGCGAGGCGAGGGCTCTAACCGCTGCGCTACGGAACTCCACAGGCCCAGGACTCGAGAAGAAGATCTTCTCTTGGATAATGTCAAGAGAAATGACCCTCTGAACGGGCAGGCAGGACTTTAGTTTAATGTCTCACCTCCCAACAATGCAGGGCTCCCTCAGTCCTGCACTGAAGCATCAGTCTAGACTTTGGGCTCAGGTTCAGACATAGAGCTTGAACCCACAACCGTAAGACCTAAAGGCAAGAACGCAATCAACTCAGCCAAGCTTCAAAAGGATCCCAGATCAATCTTTCTGTTCTCAGAGACGATCTTGGAGAGGAATACGCCACTGAGTCAGTCAGCTGACGAGGGTGGGTGCTGTGTGTAAACATATTGTCCCGGTCACCACTCTTGCCTCTAACGGCCAGAGAAATGGTTTGGACTCGGTGTTTCTCTGGCGACATGTGACCTGCCGTGTTTCATGTCATTTTAATTGCTTTCGTTTTGAAACCCTTGCGAGAAAATACGTGAGAATGAGATGCCCTTTGAAACCTCCTCTGCTTGTGACATTCAGAACGAGGGGAGGGTTATTTTAGATTCCAGAGGAAGCCTGAATCTCCGGTGTGAAGCTCGTGTCTGCAGTGACAACGTGAGGCTTTTGAGGTCAGGTCGAGAGCCTGAACGCTGGAGGAAAACCTGAGTTAAAAATTCGAGCGGAGAGGTTTGCTTATAGATTGCAAAGTCTCGCGCATTGAGAGGTGTAGGATCGTGCGTGATGGTGATTGTGTTCTGTAACAGAGCTCCCTCTTCAGGTTCACATCAGGCAGTTAGACTCAGCAGTTTTGTTCTCCCGAAGCCTCAGTCGTCAAAAGGTTCATTTTTCTGCTATTTTGCGGCATCTTTAACGAGATGGGTGAGTTGACCTCGTGAAGCTTGAGTGGAGTGGGGGGAGGGGGGGGGGGGGGGGGCGCTCCACAAATGCAAGTTGTCGTTGTCATCGTGTTTCTCGAGCGCCTTAAGATCTTTTACGCTGCGGTACGATGCAAGTTCTCGGCGGGTAATCTTTGTGGGGGCTGTGGAAGGGATGGACTTGATGGGTCCATTGATCTTTCAGGGGTTGCGATCTTTTACCGGCGTGGCTGATATATATAGAGCGCCTGCCGCACAAGATAAATTTCGAAGCTCTTGAGGTGAATTTTAGACGCAGATTCGAGACGTCTCAAGAGGGTTGCACGGCGTACACTGTGAAGTGAGTTGACTGTAGGTTGCGTGGGTGAAATACCAGTTCACTTTTACTGGAAGTATCACTGACGAGGGAAATGGCGAGAGATGTTTAAATATGTTTGCCTCATCTTATTGCAGGTTTGCTTTGTCGGAGGTAGAGAGAGAGAGGCCTGGCCGGGAATACAACAACAACAACAACAACAAGGTTCCATTTATAGAGCGCCTTTCACGTCGGGAGGGTGACGCTGAATACCCCAAGAAACACGCCGACTTCTTAAGGGCTTAGGGTGAGACCCATCGCCGTGTACCCCGATTCAGCTAAAGACCCTGCCCACCCCCGCTGCCTGGTGCAGCCCACAAGGGGGGGAGGGGATGGGCTCTTTCCGAAGACCCCGGCCTCGTTTCATGAGCTCCCCCGTGCTCAGTGACTTACCTCGCTTCCACGCCGTCAGGCAGGCAGCACTGCTCAACTCTAACCGGGCCTGGAACAGGTAAGGCACGCTCACGTGTTGGAGGCCGCCTCAAGGCACCGCACTCGTACTGTGGGCTTGTAAAGAATGGAGTCCTGTAGCTCAGTGGTTAGGGCATTCGCCTCGCAAGCGAGAGGACCCGGGTTCGATTCCCGGGCAGGGGGCGAAACCTTAGGCGAGTTTCCTTACTCCACGCGCCTCTGCTTACCCGGCAGTGAGTGGGAACCCGGGTGTTTGGCGAATCGCTTTCCGGGAGTAATAAACCGTTTAAAAAAAGAACTTGTTCGCTCAATCCACGACTGTTTGTGGGACGCTGCTGTGTGCAATTGGCCGCCGCGTTTGCCCACAAATATACAGTCAATTCAGTTTACAGTGTGTTCTGTGAAGCGCTTTGGGATGTCCTCCCGATGTGAAAAGCGCTATATCAAATGTAAGGATTATTATTATTATTATTTACAGTATATTCTGTGAAGCGCTTTGAGACGTCTTGAAGACGTGATGAGGCATTCTATCGAATGCAAGGATTATTATTATTATATTAAACAAATAAGAAGTTGGTATCAGGCTGAGGCCCCATCGAACAGAGCTGTAAAGCCTCGGCTTAAAGGGGATGCTACAGGTTTATTATTTGACCTTGTTATTCATTTGCTGATTTCTGTTCTTTCTTTATTTCCTCCGCAGTGTGCAGAAAGCAGTGATCAAAGTGTTCCAGGGAGGAAGTCTGCAAGATAATGAGCTGTTCTCTCTGAATGAAAACATTCGGTAAGTTTACGAGCAGCTGTTTAGCAACGTGTCCATTGTTAGTTCCAACCACTTCCTGGTCACGGGCAGCACAGCTCAGGGTTCGGGATCAATCTTCCTCTTATAATAATAATAATAATAATAATCCTTGCATTTGATATAGCGCTTTTCACGTCGGGAGGACGTCCCAAAGCGCTTCACAGAATATACTGTAAAGTGAATTGACTGTATATTTGTGGGCGAACGCGGCAGCCAATTGCGCACAGCAATGTCCCACAAACAGTCGTAGATTGAAAATGACCAATTTATTATTGTTTTTGGTTTTGGAGGGTTTATTATTAGGCTCTGTGTGGAGTAAGGAAACTTGCCCAAGATTTTGCCCTCTGCCTGGAATTGAACTCAGGTCTCTCACTTGCAAAGCGAGTGCTCTAACCACTGAGCTACAGGACTCCAACCTTCACCAACCTGAGCATCAGAATCTCTTTTCTCCCTCCGCCCACGCCCAACCCCTCCGCGCCACCCCCAACCCCCCTGCCAAGCCCAACCCCGAACCCCTCCACCCACCTCCAACCCCTCCACCCACCCCCAACCCCTCCGCCCACCCCCAACCCCTCCGTCCACCCACAACCCCTCCGTCCAACCCCAACCCCTCCCCGCACCTCCAACCCCTCCACCTAACAATAACAACTTGCATTTATATAGCCCCCTTCGCGCCAGACGGAGCGCTTAGATGTGGCTGACGCTCACATGATGAGGCTGAATCCATTGTGCTTTGGATCTCCCGCTATGCAATAACTAACGGCCGTGAATCTGAATCTCCCTCCACAGGCAGCTGCTGAAGAGTGAGCTCGGACCATTCATCACAGATTATTTTCAGGTAAAAAACTTCAACTGTTTCTCCGCATCAAAGGCCTGCAGGACAGGTCCTACGTTGGCACGATCAACGAATAGTTTTATCTCAGTTAAGCATCAGAGGACTGAAATTCTGCCTGCAGAAAACTAAGAAGAGTAAGACACCTCCTGTACCTTAGTGGTTAGAGCACTCGCCTCGCAAGCGAGAGAACCCGGGTTCGATTCCCGGGTGGGATGAATCCTCAGGCAAGTTTCCTTACTCACACCCCTAAGTTTACCGAGCCGTAAGTAGCAAACTGGTCGTTAGTTGTGTGGCAGATAGCTTTCAGGAGGTAATTTTCCCTCTCACCACCCCCACTCCCCAAATAAATTAATTAATTAATAATTTGGTCGCTCAATCCACGCGTGCATGTGGGACGCTGCTGTATCCAATGCAAGGATTATTATTATTATCTCACAAGGGACCTTAAAGAAGTGTACACCATGCTAAATGGTTGAGAAACAACCCTTGTAGATACGCCCAAGGCAGCAGGTCACGAGGGGACCGTTTGAAAGGCAAATTCAGACACCAGGAAGCATCTCTTTAACGAGAAGGTTAAATTAAATTAACAGCGGCACGAGTTGCCGGGTGATTGAATCCAGGACGCTGGGTCTGATTTAAGAAACAGCTTGATGCTGTCATGGGAGGATATATTAGATTGGGTGAGATGGAAGGATGTGATCAAATAGGCAGGAAGGGGCTTCATCGAACTGTTCCTTTGATCTTGTGAGCTTGATGTGAAACAGGTGAGAAACACAAGCAAGCGAGCTGCGTGGTGGTTATCAAGCTTGCTCGACGGACCAGTATGTCTCAACGTATTTTTGACGATGTGCGAGTTTAACAGGAAGTGCCAATAGCCGCGCACATCTGCCCCCCCCCCACCACCCCCCCCCCACCCCCCAAAGCTCGCTCAGCGCACGGCCACCGAGAGCAGCAACCTCCACCGCGTTTATACAATCACGGCAGAGCACGTACCATTCACACGTTAACGCTGGTCGGAGAAGCGTGCGCCATGTCTTGAGAGCGCGGGTAATGCGACCAAAGTACACTGAAGATAAGGCTGTAACTCATAAAGATAATGTCGGTGAGCGGCAAACCGAGCGACCTTGTGTCTTAGTCTCTGCAGTGTGGGGGCTCGTGTTCCTTCCTTCCTCGTGTCGGGTTTGTTACATTTTAATTTTTCTTTTTGTTACTTCAAACCTTTCTTCGTTTTCTGGAGGTTTTCAAGTGGCCTCCGTCAGTCAGGCTGGATTGTCAAGACCAGAGAGGGTCTCAAGTTTATTTGGCCAAGACCCTCTCTGAGGGGGGAATTGGACTCGAGGTACAGATCAGCCGTGAACGGCGGAACAGGCTCGAGGGGCTGAATGGCCTCCTCCCGTTCCTATAGAAGCAGGTCGGAGAGGTAGGGGGGGCTGCCTGGGCATGAAGGGATTCGAAAGGGAGTGAGAAGATCTTGAATCGAACAACCACAAGCCGGTGGGGGACGGGGAGTGTGTGACAGAGAGGTGACCTGGGCCCGCATTATTGTACAGCTCGAGAATGCCTCTCTCTCCCCACCCCCCCCTTCCCCCACCCCCACCCCACCACGCCAACCCCCACACCCCCAGCAGATACCTTCCCCTTTCCTCAGCACCACCAATCTCTCCAAGATCTCCCAGCGGACACCTCCCCCACCAAAAGGAATCAGGTTGACTGTAGGACCTGTTGCTTAAACCACGGCACTTCCAGATTGTTGGCGAGTTCAAAGCAAGTGATAGACGCCGAATAATATAAATGAGCATTTTTTTTTAAAAACAAAATGACACGTTCCCTTTTGTCAGCCTCTGCTGAATGGAGCTGTTTCTGTGCACTGCTGTGACCTATTAACCAAGCCACAGCCATAATTAGTCCGCTGTTAGTTCAGCTGATCTCTGGCACGCATTGCTATGTTGTATCTTCCACTAGATTATTGACCTGGACACTCTGGTTCCTCACCTCGAGCGCATCTGCCCGGCTCCTAACCCAAACCCTCTTCTCTCTTGCAAATGCCTCACGTGGCTTGGGTTTGGACAAAGACAGCAACTTGCCCCACAGCGCCCCTCACGCAGGGTAGCGTCCCAGAGCGCCTGACAGTGGCGGAGCCCGACCCCGAGCTGATGGGAAGGGGGGAGGTGACCGTAGGCACGGTCGAAGAGGGAAGGTCTTCAGGCGCGATCTGAAAGTGGGGAAGGAAAGGGGAAAGGCGGAGGGATAGAGGGAGAGGGTTCCGCAGCCTGGGTTAGTGCAAAAACAAGCCTCACAATTACACATTTTATAATAATAATAATAATAATCCTTGCATTTGATACAGCGCGTCATCACGTCTTCGAAACGTCTCAAAGCGCTTCACAGGATACACTGTAAAGTCAATTGACTGCATGTTTTGTGGGCGAAACGCCAATCGCGCACAGCAGCGTCCCACAAACAGTCGTGGAGTGAGTGACCGCTTTATTATTATTATTATTTGTGAAGGGATTATTATCCCCGGAAAGGGATCCGCCAATCGACTAACAAGCGGGTTCCTGCTTACTGCTGGGTAAACAGAGGCGGGTGGAGTAAGGAAACCTGCCTAACTTTTGGCCCCGCCGGGGATTTGAACCCGGGTAACTCTCGCTGGCGAGGAGAGTGCGCTCAGCGCCTATCCACTTTCTAACCACTTTCTCTGCTGAGAGGTGCTCCACAGGATCAGGTCAATCAGTTGCCGGTTGCAGAAGGATCCTGGATGCTAAATTCTGTCCATCCACGTATCAGTTGAGGTTTTACATTCACATAAACTCTCTAATGTTCGTTTCATTCTCACTTGTTTCCTTCCTTTTCCCTTTGTCAGAACCACCTTCTTTCCAAAGGTCTGAGCATTTTGGAGGAAAGAGTGCAGGGTAATGAAGGTAGGTGCGATGTGAAAATGTTCCGCTGTTTAGTTTAACCTCTTAATCGTACGTCCCTCGTAATATAAAGACGGTCGTCACAAGACAGCGTAGAGCGAGCTTTGCTCTGTACGTGAGCCACACTGTAACTAAACTGGGGATATTGAATAGAGCAGTGTAGCAGAAGCCTTAGCCTGTATTTATAATAATAATTAATAATCCTTAATAAAATTTGATGCAGTCCTCGTGATATCCAGAGGACTGAAACATTCACAAAGTGGATTTACTGCGTATTTTGGGAGCGAAAGCAGCAGTCAGTTGCGCGTAGCAACACAACAAGAACAACAAATGACATTTGTTTAGGCCTTTCATGTCAGGAGGACGCCCCAAATTTCTTGTTGTTGCTGCCTCATTTCCCTCAGTCCTCACATCCTGTTATGTTAATCTAAGGCCTGTAGCTCAGGGGTTAGAGCTCTTGCCTCACAAGCGAGAGGACCTGGGTTTGATTCCCGGGCAGGGCGAAAAGTTGGGCAAGTTACCTTACTCCGCACGCCTCTGTTTACCGGGCAGTAAGTAGGAACCCGGTTGTTAGTCCCTTTTCTGGGGGTAATAATACCTTCAAAAAATGAATAAAACGAATAATAATAATAATTCGGTCACTCAATCCACGACTATTTGTGCGTACGCTGCTGTGTGCAATTGGCTGCCGAGTTTCGCTCATAAAATATACAGTCAATTCACTTTACAGTATATTCCGTGAAGCGCTTTGAGATGTCTCGAAGACGTGATAAGGGGCTATATCAAATGCCAGGATTATTATTAAGCATTTGGATAAAGGAGACATTTAGCTAAACATTACAACTCTTGTGTTTTTTTTTATTTCCTATTACTGTCCTTGATGTCGCTCTGTTTTCCCTTAGGTGAAAGACTGTTGGAAGCTTTGACGGAAAACTGGGATAACTTCTTCACTGAGATATTGCCCACTCTCCAGGCCATATTCTATCCCGTGCAGGTAAGTGCGTCTTCCTCCATATTATTTCTTTCGTCTTGTTTCGCTGCTTTCTGTATTCCTCCCAGACACCAGTCTTGCCGCTATTCCTTGCTGTTTCATATGCCCTTTCTCTTTGGTTGATTCATTACCTCTTTAAATAGATTCCAAAGGCCTTTGTAACAAAGGTTTTCAGATATTATCTAAATCAATTTCGCTTTATGTTGTAATCGTCAATTCACTTTCCAGTATATCCTGTGAAGCGCTTTGAGACGTCTTGAAGATGTGATAAGTCGCTTTGTCAAACGCTAAGATTATTATTATTATTATTAATATTATTGTTAAGATTTTGAAAATGCCGAATATTGTGAGTGATGATTACCAGTGCTGGAGGTCAGGCTGGCAGCTGAGGGGCAAGCTTCCTCGCTAGTTCCTTCCTCTTTGACCGTATCTTCGGTCATCCTCTCACCCCCAGCCCCCCACCCCCCCTCCTCCAATGCCCTCCACCCCTCTTGATTCCAATCCCCAACTCGGGTGCAAACCCTTCACTGTCCAGCCCCATGGGACCTTCTATCGATGAGAAAGGCATTATATGAATGCAACTTGTTGTTGTTATTCCTTGCTGCCAGTTCTAACTTGACTTTAAGTTCAATGAACCAAGGAGACAGAGCACCAAACGTTACTGAGAAACAATTAAAAGCGACACGTTCTAAAGCACTTACTGAAACTGCGTTCAGCCATGTTACATTTCAGTGTGTAAGTGCCCCAATATCGGAGTCCTGTAACATAATCGTTAGAGCAGAGGATCTGGGTTTGATTCCCAGGCAGGCCAAAACCTTAAGGAAGTTTCCTTGCTCCATACGCCTCTGTTTACCTAGCAGTAGGGACCCAGTTGTTTGTCCATTGGCCCTCTCCAGGGGGTAATAACCCATTCAAAAAACCAATAAAATTTTTTTTTAAGTAATCATTTGGTCACTTCAATCCGCGACTGTTTGTGGGACGCTGCCGTGCGCAATTGGCTGCTGCGTTTTGCCCACAAAATAAAGAGTCAATTCACTTAACAGCGTATCCTGTGAAGCGCTTTGAAACGTTTCGATGACGTAATGAGGCGCTGTGTCAAATGCAAAGATTATTTTTCTCATTATTATACTGCATCGCTTGAATTATCATTGAGCTGGCACATCACACAGCAGAGGGGATGATCACCACCCCGTCTTTCCAGTTAAAAATAACGCAAAGTGATTCTCATATTGAGCCCTTTGTTTAGGGGCAGGAGCTGACTGTGCGGCAGATGGCTTTGCTTGGATTCCGAGATCGGGTTCTGTTGAAAGTCAATCTGGAGAACTTGCTGCATCAAACGCACACCAAGGTGTCTCCATCCATCTCCCAGATGTTACTGGTGCTTCAGGTAAGATAGTTATGTGAACCTGAGCTTCACTAGTCTGTAACCCCAATACCCTGGTTAGACAGTCTGCCGATCCCCCTTAGAGTGGGGTGGGGGGGGAGGTAGATGGGGTCTCCTTGCACCAGAACTGGCTCCAAGGTGACATGCTTGCTAATGGACTGTCGGATGAGCCAGTCCTCTGTGACGGTCTCTAGTCTGGTTCCTAAGCCAGATGGGTCCGCAGTATTCCAGGGCACTGCTAATGAGTGGGTCCTGGCACATTGGCAGGACCTGGAAGGGTAGACAAGTCACTGGAGGCAGGGGATCATCCCACTCAGCTCCTGTTTTAACCCTGCAAGCCAAAGCCCTAACAGGTAGGGCGGTCCTAGCTGGACAAGCAGCGGGGAAGCTTGCCAGACACCAGACCAGTCTATAGGCTGGTAGACAGTCTGCAGACCTGGGGTGATGTCTTGGCTACGTGAATGTAAGTTGTTTGTAGTAAAGTGGAAAATACAATCGGAATCGTTCGTTTTGACGGGGTTGTCTGCACTGAAACCTTGACCTTTCACCCCGAGTCTAAATAATCGAAGCAAGGTAGCCCTGACATTCGGGCTTATCGCATTAAACAGGTCCAGGCCCCGCCCCCCCCCTCGGCAAACATTACCTGGACAGAGAGATAGAGGTGCAGTTTCGAAACCAAATCTCTTCTGTGCAAATATGTTCTTTGTTTTTCTGTCTGGGAAACAGAGAGACTGTTTGGAGCGAGGAGAGCCCCGACTGAGATGTCACAGAATCTGAATTGTTACAAAGGAATCTCCCTTTGTATTGTGCTCAGTTATCAATGCCTTCAGTCGCCCTTTGCCCTCTTGCTCAAGGCCTGTTGATCACATCAAGTCGCGAGCGGGCCTTTAGTACAGAATTAACCTCATGTGCGGTACTATCCATTGCTTTTATGATTCAGAGTGCTGAGCTGTGCCTCTGTCTTCTGCCCCTCTCCCCGAGTGTGACACACCAGCCCTCCTCTCCCGCTCACATCTACAAAAATCTTACATTTATAGAACACCCATTATGTAGGGGAACGGCTTGGAGGGTTTAGAAGGGTTTAGATGCCGAGCAAGTGAGAGGGGACGGGAGTAGAGTAGAGGAGGGGATGGTGACCATTGGCATGTTCTCAGAGGGTGGATGTGAGGCAGGACGTAAAGACAGGAATATAAGGGGCGAGAGCGAGTTCCAAATGTTAGGGGCAATAGCGTCGTTCACGTCGGGAGGACGTCCCAAGGCGCTGAACACTCAGCAACTGATGGTCGGGTGGAGGACGGTAAGAAGCCCAAGTTAGTTGAGTGGAGGAGAAGATCAGAGAGTGGATGGATTTGTAGGTGAGGGTGAAGACCTTGAAAATTGATCTAAAGAGATAGTGGAGCCAGGCGAGCACTGGTAGTGATGGGCATTTCATGGAGGAAAACTGTCTGAGAACGCTTTGCGCAGAGAGGTTAATTAGAAGTGAAGGGGACGTTGTTGTGTTAATTTGAAACCGCAGCAAAGCCCTCACATCGTATTCTAAGGGAAGAGCAGAGAAGACTTAAGACCCGGGTTGTTGATGGTGAGGATGGTGTAATGAGTTAATGGGGAGTGTGCGCCTGGGATACGAGGAAACGTGTTGCAAGATAGGCTGCAAGAGTGGTGAAGAATTTCCCTCTCCCACCCCCCCCCTCCCCACTCCCCACGCAGGAGTCACCTAAAGGCATCTTCATGATGTAACGATTCAATGAGCTTCACAATGAGCCAACACTCGGAGTCATTTCAGGCTCCTGGAACACAGGAACAGTTTTGGGCTATTCAGCCCCTCAAGCCTGTTCCGACAACAACAGCAACAACTTACATTGATATAGAGCCCCTTCGCACAGGGTAGCGACCCAGAGCGCTAGACAGGTGGAGATAACGCCAAGCCAGGGGTGGGGGGGGGAGGTGACTGTAGCCACGGTCGAAGAAGCTCTTCAGGCGCGACCTGAAGATGGGGAATCAAGGGGCGAGGCAGAGGGATAGAGGAAGAGAGTTCCAGCGTTTCGGGCGTTAGTGGCTAAAAGCGCGGCCACCGATGGCAGAGCGGACGAGGGAGGGCACAATGGGACTTGCAGGAGGTTGGAGCCAGCCACCATTCTGTTAGATCGAGGCTGATCTGTACCTCAACTCCAATCACCCATCTTTGGCCCATGCGGTGATCGCTAAGGGAATACATCGAGGCATAGCGTTGGCACACTGGCAGTAGAGGAAGCTAGTTATCCATTGGGTTTCCTTGCTGGTACCCGGCTCGTGACCGAGGTTACTCACAGTGTAAACATGGACCGAGACAAAAAAGAACTAAAGAAGAACTGAGAAAGACGTGTCAGTCCACAGCGCACACACACTTCCTCTTTGAAGCTTTTAAACGTTCATTTTCACACCACACAACACCACCCACTGCAGCGACAGTCATTTCGGCTCAAATTCCTGCAGGAACACATTTGCGTGGTTTATGTTTTTGGCGTAGCTTGTTTTGTAAGACTAAAACTTCCTTATTCTTTCTGAAGTTAAACCCTTCTCTTTCCCCAGCTCGGTTGCCGCCCTCCCCCACCTCCCCACACCCCCCCTCTCCAACTCCCCACCTCCCACACCCCCCTCTCCAACTCTCCCCCCCCACCACCAACCCCCACCCCATGTACGATGCCTGTGTGAGAGGAGAATCCAGTGGATACATAATCTTTCTTCATCCAAATTATTTGATGTTAGATTTAATTTAATATTAAATTGAAGTTGAGGTGCAGATCATCCATGATCTAATAGAATGGCACAACAGGCTCGAGGGGCTGAATGGCCTCCTCCTGTTCCTATTGTTCCTACGACCCTCTCTACCCCGTCGCGCCACTTCAAAGCAGCAACAACAACCACAACAAATGGCATTTACACAGTGCCTTTCACGTCGGGAGGACGTCCCAAGGCGCTGGACAGTCAGGGATTTGGAATCGAGCTGGGGATTGGGTTCAGGAGGGGGTAGAGGGTGAGGAGGATGGGGGTAGGAGGGAGGCAGAAGGCGCGGTCGAAACTGGCCCTCGACGATGATTGAGAGAAGACTGATCACATAGACTGCTTTCCTCTCTAAAGCGCTAGCTCCCATCGTGGCCAAATAGTCTCTTCATGTGCTGTTCTTGGCTGCTTTTGGCATTTCATTTCAGATCCTTGTCTAGTCGGGCTGAATAACACAAGCAGGATTGCTCTCGTGGTCAGTTTAATCACAGAGTATTTTAAAATGCAGTTGCGAGGATTGAGCAGAAAAAAAGCCAAAGGGCTATTGATCCTTGGACCTGCCTTTAATTGCATAGTAATAATAATAATCCTTGCATTTGATATGGCGCCTTATCACGCCTTCGAGACATCTCAAAGCGCTTCACAGGATACACTGTTAAAGTGGATTGACTGTGTATTTTGTGGGCGAAACGCGGCAGCCAATTGCGCACAGCAGCGTCCCACAAGAACTCGTGGATTGAGTGACCGAATATGGCCTAAGAGTACAGAAAATCGTCACTGTGAAGAATAGACTGTAATGACTGTTTGCTACCATGAGCTTACACTTGTGTTAAAGTATATTTAACAGGAAGTCACATCGGTGTGAATGTCACAAGCCAGGAGGAAGTGCAAGAACACAACTGTCCAGTTACTGTAAATGCCACTGGATAGAGGCGGTTGTAAAGGGGGAAGTGTTCCCCAGACAGCGAGGTGGGGTTGGGGAGCTAGCTTGGCACAGGTCCACCCTGGCTCCATTACCCACTTTTAACCCTGGCCAATATTCTGTGCCAGGCCACAGCCCAGTAGTGAATAATTCACGGTAGTTTCTCAGTGGGATTCTTTCATAGGGAAGCCAAGTTGCAGGACTGGAGGTGTGGGGGAGGAAGCGGGGGGAAGGCGGCTGTGTGTGGGGGGGGGGGTGGGGGGGGGGAGGGGGTGCCCAAATACAGCTGGAGGTTCATTATGAGTCATTCCAGAACGTCCCTCTAGATCCAGATGCTGAGAAGATAAGAATAATCATTGCATTTGACCCAACGTCTTATCACGTCATCGAGACGTCTCAAAGCGCTTCACAGGATACGCTGCAAAGTAAATTGACTGTACGTTTTGTGGGCGAAACGCGGCAGCCAATTGCTCACAGCAGCGTCCCATTTAATTATTTCATTATTTCAATTTTTTTGAAGGGATTATTACCCCGGAATAGGGATCCGCCAATCGACTAACAACTGGGTTCCTACTTACCGCTAGGTCAACAGAGGCATGTGTGTGGAGTAAGGAAACTTTCCAATGTTTCGCCCTGCCCGGGAATTGAACCCGGGTCCTCTCGCTTGCGAGGTGAGCGCTCTAGATTAGATCTTTCCCCCTTTCAGCCGTGAAGATTCCTGGGAATTGAGAGAACCTCTTTGAAGCGCAGTCTAACCCTCAGGAACCAAAAAAGATTCATGGGCGATCTCCACTCACTTGATTGAAAGGGTTAATGTTTGGTGCTTCCCTGACAGGGGGTTCACGAGGCCAAAGGGACGAGCGAGAAGTACCTACGGCTGGAGTGGCTAGTCCGGCTGCTCGTGTATCCATGTCTGAGTGGGGAAAACGACGCAGACAGCATCAACATGGGTAGGTCATTGTATCGCTCACCGCTTCCTAATAATCCTTTCATTAGGAACAGCGCACACAACATCAAGTCTTCTCAAAGCTGTTCAGGTTATTACTGACTGTATTATGATATAACAGAATAATCCTTAAGTTTGAAGGGATCATTATCACATCGCTTAGACGTTCTCAAAGCGCTTCACAGAATACACTATAACGTGAATTGACTGTATATTTTGTGCTGGGGAGAGGGAGAAAATGCGTAAAAACTTGCTCGGCGAAAGAAGACCAAGATCCATCCAACATCTGTCCCGAGATATTCGTTTCCAGCAGAAATCTATCTCGTTTGTTCTCGATACAAACAACGTTTTCTGCTTCCACCGTCTCACTGGGGAGCCAGTTCAGTTTACCGTGTGCCCGGTCTGAATTTACCCCGCTTCGATTTCAGGCTGTGTCCTCTGGTTCGACTGTTCAGTCCACGATAACACATCCCATTCAATTAACGCCAATACCTTTTATTGTACGGACTGTTCTGGGGTGGTGGGGGTCAAGGTTTGCGGTCAGGGTGATATCTGTCGCATCAAATGGACAAGAGATGGAGCTTCCCTTCCCCTGCCTGGCTCTCAGATCGTGGGTGGGATGGGTGCACAGTGTCATTGTGGCTGTACTGTACTGTACTGTGGTCAGGGCTCATTAGCCTCACAGTCTGTCCAAGATCTACAGCTGTTCGATATTACCTCAATGGCTCATGTTTGCCTGTTGCACATTTCCTGAAACATAATGCTGTGCTCAATCCAGCAATGCAAATACATCTGAGCAATGAATCTGAGCCTCTCCCTAGCGCTCGGGGCTGTGTAAAGGAACCGCAACTTGGAACAAATGGAAAAATGGCCAGCATTAGCCATTGAGCGGTTTAACTGCATCAGGCTTGGCCTGTAACTCACAGAGGATCTGACTGTGAAACCAACCCCGCCAATCACTGCTGGTGCATGTTCCCGGCTGAATGTGGATTCAAATATAAAAGCATAAGAGTTGCTCACAAGGCAACGCGGAGGAAATTAGGATTGATTCCCGGGGAGGGTCAGGGCGAAACCATAGGTAAGTTTCCTTACTCCACACGCCACTTGTTTACCTAGCAGAGACTAGGAACCCGGTTGTTAGTTGACTGGCCGATCGCTTTCCTTGAGTAATAATGATCCCTTCAAAAGAAACAAAAATGCGGTCAGTCAATCCGTGACTGTTTGTGGGATGCTGCTGTGCGCAATTGGCTGCCACGTTTCGCCCACAAAGCAGAGTCACTACACTTTACAGTCTGTTCCGGGAAGCGCTCTTGAGATGTGTCAACGACGTGATAAGGCAACGCCAACATTTGCCAAACAAAATCCTACGCTACCTTATCCCCAAAGCCCTTCAAATGAAATTTTCACCAAATAGCTGTCAAATTCCTTCTTAAATATTACCGTGTCTTGCCAGGCCGCTTTACATACATGTTTCTCAGCAAAAAAAAACCTCAGTTGCGAGTGCTTTTTATGACGGTTGGGAGCCTTCAACCGTTGGTTAACTGGTTATTACTGGCATCCCGGGGGGGGGCGGGGGGTGGGGAGAGGGTGAAAATAAATATCCCATAGGCTGCAAATTGTCCCCAACCATGTGTTAGACTCCATTGCAATACATTATTGGTCATTATCCCCTTGATGCTACTGGAGAGTAACTGCTAGTCCTTAAAACGTCAACAGCTGTTTCACAACCGGTCTCTAATTACTCTCAAGAAATCAAATCAGAAATAGCTCCGAAAGTTTTCCAAATATTTTTTAATCTCCTTTTTTTTTAAAATTGTCTTCGAGCCACAGTCCATCCTGGCCGGGACTGAGGGTCAAATGGCCTGGAAAGTCCGAAACCCGCCTGAATTTGTGTGCTTCGTAACACGTTCTGACAAGTGTGATATGGTAACGTCCGACAAACTGGGAATGAATGAGGTTTAGCTGAGGAGACTGTGTGTGCGCACACACACACACACACACTCTCTCAGTATAGCTCTGCTGACTCTCCACATTCCTGAGGTGATCCGAACCTCTTGATTGCCTGAGGTCTTGGTCCGTGTTTGTTTTTTAAGAGTAATAAAAAAATTCCCATTCTAGTTAGTCATAATACAAAATGGTCCAAATTCAGATTGTGGGAACCCAGTTTTGTTCCCGGCGTATTTCAGTTCCTGTGATTCACTATTTTTTTAGCGGTTGAGAGGGGCGAGGGTGGGAGGGGGTTGGGAATGTCTCCTGAGGCCAGTCCTGTTTTGAATCTACGTACATTCATGCTGGAGTTGCCCCCCACCCTCTCTGGAATGCCCCTTCCACCTCCTTCGCCCCTTCCCTTGCCTCGCTCAAGGTGAGTCTCAAGACCTTCCTCCTCAATTGCGCCCTCCAATCCCCGTCCCTCCAAATCCAACCCTCAGCTCGGGTTCAAACCCTCGAGTCACTGCCGTGGTTGAAAATGTAGACGTAGACCTGACTCTTGTGTTTGAGACATGACGTGAAGGTCACTGTATAAATGTACAACAACAACGTGCATTTTCTTTTGGGTTTTATGTATCGCCCGGCGTCTCGGAGCGCTTGTAAACTGTGTTCCTCCCTTGCGCAGTCAGTCCTCGCTCACTTTATCTGTCCTAGTTACTGGAAAGTATTTTTCCCAAGTGAGGACACGACTTTGAATGAACCGTATTGTGCTAAATAAATCCTGTCCCTGTTTTGCCCACCTAGGCCGAGAATTTGGGAATCCTCGATCGAAGATTGTGGATTTCACGATTGATCCATGTCAAGTCACGGAGCCCAACGAGAACGCTCTGAGTCCCCTGTTTGAGCAGGAAGGCGAGGCCTACCTGGAGAAATGTGGGAGCCTGCGACGACACACTGTGGCCAATGCACCCTCCGACCTCCAGCTTTTCGCCATGACCACCATGATGCACCCTGTCATGGTGGAAGAACCAAGTAGCGAAGACACATGCCTACTGCTGCCACCAAATATGAACCACAGATACTATTCCAGCCAGCCCAGCAGCCTGGATTCACAACCTGAGATGATGGTGCTCTCGCTGCAGGAATCTTCAGACCTCAAATGCACGACTCTTGCTTAGACCAAGTCACTCCTGTTGATAGACTAGGAGTTACCCAAACACTCACCGTGTACTGCACAGCACCAGTCACTAACACTTGTCATTGTCACGGGTTATGTGCCAGGGACTGGCCTCTTGCGGACTGGGCTGTGCCAAGGAGTGTTGACACAGTGTTGGCGGCAACGTTTATTATCAATGAACCCACTCAGTTGGGAAAGCACAAATCTCTAGTTACAGCTCTCCAGGAACAAGGATTGAATTTGCACTAAAGATTTAGAACGGACGCTCAAACTCTTGAGACTGAACATTGGAGGAGGATTAACCTCTAACCTCCCTCTCAACCTCCCTCCCTCCCTCCCATTCACTGACATTGTACCTTTCTTGGTTTGCTTTGCAGAATTTTCCACGGATACCATAACCTCGTGTCAAGTGCCAGTTGCTTTTGTTTACAGGAGAAAATTATTGATGTGAAAGGCGTTATATAAATATATGTTGCTCATCCCAAACTGGACAAGTCCTAAACTGCAGGGAGCAAAACAACAAAATTACATTTCTATAGCGCCTCTCGTGTCGGGAGGACGTCCCAAGGCGCTGGACACGAGCTGGGGGTCGGGATTGGGGAGGCTGGGGGGGCAGGAGTGAAGGAGGGTGATCGAAGGCACGGTCGAAGAGGTGTGTCTTGAGATGCGTCTTGAAGGAGGGAAGGGAAGGTGCCTGAAAGGCAGGGGCTATGAGATGGTAAATATCATTTGAAAACCAGAGGCAACTTTCAACTGGTAAATAAAATGGTGGTTTTACTGTGTATTTCGGAGAGAATTAGAGGGGAAAATTAGTATCAGCCAAGGCTGTTTTGCATTTGGTAATTTGCTTTCCAACTTTCTCTCTTCGGGTCCTTTTTGTGGCCAAGACAAGGGCGAAAGCAGAGAGCCGGAGAGGTGATGGCAATGCCTTGCAATTCGGCGAAAAACTGAGTCTTAGGAACATGTCCTGAGCTGGAGCAAGTGAGCGCCATCCGATCTGGTCTGGATCAGTCAGTGTCAACCAAGCTGAGCTCCCGCCCTGTGCCAGGGTGATGGGACCTTGTCTGACTGAAATAATTCAGGTTTACCTGAATCCTCAGTTGATCACCAGATGTGTCTCAAGCTGACTTACTAACGTACCCGGGTTCGTTGAAGTCTGATTGGAACCAAAGGAGGCTCCAGGCAGGAGACTGGAGTAAAAGCAGCATTGTGACAAACAGCAGGATGTTCCTCGCTGTTGGAACTCCAGCAATACTGTACCTTCAGTACCCTGAGCCTTGAGAGGCGTGTAAATCCACTGGCTCCCCATCCCCTCAGAGAGTTCAAAATCCTTGCCCTTACTTTCAAGGCCCTCCATGGCTTTGATCCTTCCTACCTCTGAGATCTGCTGCCCCCATATCAACCGGTCTGCTCGCTCCGCTCAGCAGGCTCTGGCCTGTTCCACGTCCCCCGCCCACCCTACCATACCATCGGTGGTCAGGCCTTCAGCCTTTCTGCCCCCACCTTCTGGACCTCCATCCCACAGTCCCTTCGCTTTGCTCCTTCCCTTGCCTCCTTCAAGGCCTCCTCTTCGACCACGCCTTTGGCCAACCTCCTGCCCCTAACTCCCCCTGCCCTCCAACCTTCCTGATCCCAACCTCCTACTCGGGTCCAAATCCCTGACTGTCCAGTGCCTTGGGACGTCCTCCTGACGTGAGATGTTGTTATAAATGTGGAACGCCGTTTGGATTATCTTCAGCCTGGAGATGGGTTCCTGTCATGACGCTAAAACCAAATACTGTGTGAATGACAGTCGGGCAGTATGTGATTGTTACGGGTTTACCTCTGCATTAACGTTACAGCCGGAGGAGACTCTTTGCTGTGCGGGTTTGTTGTATATATTTTCTGTATTAAATGTACCTCTATTTTCGGATCACTTGTTCAGCTGGTACCCCAGGATGGAGGACGAGGAGTAAATTTACTGGCGCTCCACTCCTGTCGCTCAAACCCTGCCAGTGGATTGAGGACCCTAATCTAGTTTGTAGATGTCAAGGGATGGAAACCGAACCAAATGATCCAAATACTGACGTGATACACCTGCGAAAGACGCTCACAGTAATAATAATCCTCACATTTGATACGGCGCCTGATCACGTCTTTGAGACGTCTCAATGCGCTTCACAGAATATACTGTCAAATGAATTTACTGCATATTTTGTGGGCGGAACGAGGCAGCCAATTGCGCACAGCAGCGTCCCACAAACAGGCGTGGATTGAGTGACCAAACTGTTATTTTGTTTTATTTTTTATTTGGAGTATTACCCCCCGGAAAAGCGATCTGCCGAATGACTAACAACCGGGTTCCTACTCACTACTGGTAAACAGAGGTGTGTGGAGTAAGGAAACTTGCCCAATGTTTCGTCCTGTTCAGGAATCGAACCCGGGTCCTCTCACTTGCGAGGCGAGCGTTCTACCCACTGAGCTACAGGACTTCAGAATGAGCCGACTTTCACTCACTTGCTCAAATCTCCACCTCCGGACACTGCCTTCAGAAACAGATTCTGAATTGGATACAGGACCTTAGTACATCAAAACATCTCAAACATCACGTCAGAGGTTTAATAAACTAATGATCCTTGCAACTGACATACAGCGCCTTTCACACTGAAGGGGGACGTCTCAAAGTGTTTCACAGGAATTACTGTAAGGTGCAGTGACTGCTTTCGCAGGTTACAGTAAGCAACAGGGACTTTTTATAGTTTAATCAACTGACTGCTTCCTGATTGAGTCTCAGCCAGGACTATGAATAAAGCCGGTGACAATGCAGTGTTTACAGTAACAAGACTTTCTGTCTGACTTTTGAGACGCGTGAGCTGGCATGATTTAATGTGTCTTTCCCAGTGAGCGTGGAGGATGTTATGAGAGTGGATAGTTCCAGTGGAGGAGCTAACCGCACTCCAGATGTGATGTGTGCTGAACGGCCAGGGCTGCAGATTTCCACATCGGCAGGCTTGTTGGAGGGAGAACAGCTGATCCAGATTATTTTAATTGTTTTTCTGAGCGCAGATCGCGAGTCATGGTTTACTTAATGCGCCAGTGACTAACGCTGCTCCCTCCGCTCAGCGGCATCGGGCCTGCTTCACGTTCCCCGCCTCTCTCGTCCCAACATTGGCAGGCGGGCCTTCAGCCTCCCTGCCCCCATCCTCGGGGAACGACATCCCACATTCCCTCTGCCTCGCCCCCTCCCTTGCCTCCTTCAAGACTATCTCAAGACCTTCCTCTTCGACCGTGCCTTCGGTCATTTGTTTAGAATTTAACCCCCTTTAATCAATCGCTGGCCGCTATACAAATGTAACCTGTTGTTATGCTATAAGCAGGATATCTAACGTGTTTCAGCAGACACGTTGCAGAAGACAGGAAAGCAAAAGAACAACATTTCCTTAAGAGCTCGCGGCCATTTCCCCCCCCCCCCCCCACATCCCGGAGAAACCCCGGCCAACAAAACCCACGGTGCTCAGCTGATTTGTTTCATCAAACTCCTGCTGCATGAACAATGGCACACCATGGGAACAGGAGGAGGCCATTCAGCCCCTTGAGCCTGTTCCGCCATGCTACAAGATCACGGCTGATCTGTAACTCAACTCCAATTACCTGCCCTTGCCCCATATCCCTTGATACCCTGATCAGGCTCACAAAAATGGTTTTGATCGCCCCCCCACCCCCTGACTCCACACACAGCCTTTTGCATAAGGAGAGTTCCAGATTTCCCCTCAACTTTGTGTGGGTGAAAAACTACCTCCTGATTTCCCTCCTAAATGGCCTGGCTTGAATTTTAAGCCAATGCTCCCTTGTTGTGGGTTTACCAGACAGGCAGTGGGGGCTCGGGGGAAAGAATATTAACAGGAAGGTACCTCAGTATCAGAGCCACTGAACTTTGTGGCCATGAACTCCAAAGCGGGAGGAATCTGCCCCTCGTCCCCCAGTAAACAAGCTCGGATAAAGTCTTCACTGTTTTATCAGAAATCACCTCGAACAATCATAGAATTATACAGCACAGAAGGAGGCCATTCGCCCCATCGTGTCAGTGCCAGTTCTTTGAAAAGAGCTTCCAAAAGAGCTTCAAACCCACTCCCCCGCTCTCTCCCCATAGCCCTGATCAACCCCACTCCCCCCTCTCTCCCCATAGCCCTGATCAACCCCACTCCCCCGCTCTCTCCCCATAGCCCTGATCAACCCCACTCCCCCGCTCTCTCCCCATAGCCCTGATCAACCCCACTCCCCCCTCTCTCCCCATAGCCCTGATCAACCCCACTCCCCCCGCTCTCTCCCCATAGCCCTGATCAACCACACTCCCCCGCTCTCTCCCCATAGCCCTGATCAACCCCACTCCCCGCTCTCTCCCATAGCCCCGATCAACCCCACTCCCCCCTTCTCTCCCCATAGCCCTGATCAACCCCACTCCCCGCTCTCTCCCCATAGCCGATCAACCCACTCCCCCGCTCTCTCCCATAGCCCTGATCAACCCCACTCCCCGCTCTCCCCCATAGCCCTGATCAACCCCACTCCCCGCTCTCTCCCATAGCCCTGATCAATCCCACTCCCCCACTCTCTCCCCATAGCCCTGATCAACCCACTCCCCCACTCTCTCTCCCTCCCCATAGCCCTGATCAACCCCACTCCCCCGCTCTCTCCCCATAGCTCTGATCAACCCCACTCCCCCGCTCTCTCCCCATAGCCCTGCAAACTTGTCCTCCCCAAATAATTATCTAATTCTCTCTTAAAAGTTGTAATCGAATCGGCTTCCACCAGACAATGCATTTCAGTTCCCAACAACTCACTGTGTGAAAAAATTTCTCACCTCCCATTGCCTTTAACAACTATTTTAATTCGGCGTCCTCGGGTTACTGACCCACCCGCCAGTGGAAATAGTTTCTATTCTTATAATTTACACCAACAATGCTGGTATAAATAGCTGAACGAGCAGACCGGAAGTCTAACTGATCTGAAGCCCTCACAAGCTGCACACAACTGGGATTTGCTTTGGGTTCCTGCAGAAAACAGCCGGAGAAAGTTTTCGTTAAAAACAAAACTGAACGTTACTATCTTTTCCCCAAGTGACCAGTTACTGCTAGTTACTGGTATCATTGCTAACTACTATCATTGATACAGCTCAAACACCACCTGTTAATTAGAATCTTAGTTTCAAAGCAGCTGAAAATGACACTCCCCCGCTCTCTCCGATCGTCCCATCGCTAGTCTGGCACCTTCATGCGAATACTGTATCATTTCAAGTTCCTTACTCCACACGCCTCTGTTTCCCTCGTAGTTAGTAGGAACCTGGTTGTTAGTCGGTTGGAGGATTGCTTTCCAGGGGTAATAATCCCTAGAAAAAAATGTGGTCACCCGACCCACGGCTGTTTGTGGGATGCTGCCGCGCGCAAACGGCTGCTGCGTTTCGTCCACAAAATACAGTCAAATCCACTTCACAGTATATTCCGTGAACGCGTTGAGACGTCTGAACAATGCGATAAGGCGCTGTATCAAATGCAAGGCTTATTATTATTGCCATGGAACCAACTCCAGGCTGCAACTGTACCTCTGGCAGAACAGCCTAGCAGTGGGGGAGTTTTTGGAGTAAATATTATGATAGTACGGTAGGCAACGCAGAATGCTTTACACAACCAGGTGAACCTCTTTGATGTAGAACTCTAGTGGAACTCTCTCTCCTAATCCCTCCGCCTTGCCACCTCCTTCCCCAATTTTAGATCACGCCTGAAGACCTTCCTCTTCGACCGTGCCTACGGTCACCTCCTCCATCCCTCCGCCCGGCTCTGCGACAGGCTACGCCACCGTTAAGCGCTCCGAGATGTGGAGAGCGCTATATAAACACAAGTTGCTGTTATCATAATCCTTGCATTGGATAGAGCCTTATCACATCTTCGAGGCATCTCGAAGCTCTTCACAGAATACAGTGTAAAGTGGAATTGACTGTATATTTGAGGGCACAGGTTCAGGATGGGAAAGGGCAGGGTTTAGCCAGACCGGAAAGGAGAGATGCCACAGGTCATTTTCACACAAAGGAACAGGATTTCAGCCAAGCGGGAAAAGCAGGAAGTGGGAGAAATGCGAGCGGGAGAAAGAGAATGAACCAAGTCGCTAAAAAAAGTGCCAATGGAGCTCGCTCTGAGCAAGCGCTGGCACACACAAACACACACACACAACGTGGACAAAGCTGGAGCTGAAGATAAAGCAGAGATCTTGAACTCTGCAGAAAAGTAAAAACAAGAAAGCCTTCGAAACAATTCAGGGAAACGGAACGGGCGGGAGATTAGAATTAGGAGATAGCGCAAGGGTAAGTAGCGGGTAAAGGGCATCGGGAAAAGGAAATTGTCGCGGGCATGAAGGGAAATGAAGGCGTCCTTAGAGCAGGGTATGCACTGAAGTGGGGACTCGCTAACAGTCTGTTGCAGCAACGGAAATTATCGGCATGACATCAAAGTCTTGTAGCTCAGTGGTGAGAGCGCTCGCCTCGCAAGCGAGAGGTCCTGGGTTCGATACCCGGGCAGGGCAAAACGAAACGTTGGGCAAGTTTCCTTGCCCCACACGCCTCTGTTTATCCGGTTGTTAGTCGATTGGTGGATCGCTTTTCTGGGGGGTAATAATCCCTTCAAAAATATAAAATATTAATAATAATTTGGTCACTCAATCCACGACTGTTTGTGGGGACATCGCTGGGCGCAATTGGCTGCCGCGTTTCGCCCACAAAATATACAGTTATTACACTTTACAGTGTATCCTGTGAAACGCTTTGAGACGTCTCGAAGACGTGATGAGACACTGCATCAAACGCAAGGATTATTATTATTATTATTAAAATAAGAGACTGATGCGAAAGGTGTCGGTATCCTGGGTGAAGCATCGAGTCGTACTTGGGTTACTCATCGTGGATCAAGTAAAGACACTGACAATCAGCTGCTGAAAGATGACTATCATATCGATCATTTAGGTCAAACGTCACAAACACCTTGACAACAGCTCCATCTTAATCGCACGGCCCCCTCTCCCCTCCCCTCCCCACCACCCCCTCCCCATCGTGACGTTTTAATCAACTTTGTCGGCTCCCGATCCACACACGCTGCAGGTGGCAGTTAAGACGCAAATCAAGCTTTGGCAGCCCGCCAACAGGTGTGAGTCTGTAGACAGATGCGGCAAATGGGACAAGGCCCAGCTTGGGATTGAAGAAATACCTTGGTAACTGAGAAGACGTCTCCAGTCCTGGCCCAATGGCCTCTTTTCCCATCCGCGCCTCCTGAAATTTGTATGATTGTACCTGGGGCAGCCGTGACCCCAGGGTTGACTTCATTCTGTGTCCCGCGGTTGGTTGGTTGGTTGGTCGGTCGGTCGGTTGGTTTGCTTATAGGCTCCTCAATAATAATTGTGCAACATTGGAATGAATGTGAGAACATGATTATCTAGTGCAGTGGTTACAAGGACCTTCTCAGCCAGCTGGCCTACACTTCCCCTTTGCCCAAGTCCTTCACCTACCCCGACCCACAGCACAAGCGAAGTCACACCATGAAAGGTTCACCCACCCCCCTCCACCTCTCCCACTCACAGCCCACTGTCTGCCGAGCGTGGCTGGAAGTCCTCCTTCCTTCTCCAGTTCATGTCCAGCCTGGCCATGACCTCGCAGCGCACCAGGAGGGCATCGTCCCTCACGTATGAGTGCTGCCTCAGCATGTGCAGGGGCATGAAGGTCACGTACCCAAAGCCTTTGGGGTTGCGAGGCACCGTGGGCCTCTGGAAGGCCGCCAGCTCGGGCTTGCTCTCCATGATCTCCTCGTGGTTGTGCTTGACGGAGCCCTCGGACTGGTCGATGATGGACAAGCGGATGGTGCCCTGGAAGGGCCAGGGCAGGTAGGTGTCGTACTCGCCCTGCATGGTGTGCACGAAGAGGGAAATGTAGTTTGAACAGCGTTGGGCGCTGGGCGTCTGCAGGTGCATTCGTAGGCACAGTTTGTAGCCGGGTTTCCCCGTGTAGAAGCCTCGACTGTGCAGCACCACAGGCTGGTCCTCCCCCTGCGCCCTCAGGTGGTGGCTGAAGTTCTCCACCTTCCAGATGAAGATGCCGTTGCACTGCTGAGCCTCAAGCTCCGACACCCTCTCCTCCAGGGCTCGGTTGCGGCGCTTGAGGTCTCCCACCTGCCCGCACTGGGTCTCCATCTTGGCCGTCAGCTCCCGGATCTGGTGGTCCTGACGCACCAGGCGTCCCTCCAGGTGCTGGAGGGTCTCCTTCAGGTGCTGCACGGCCGGGGGGCAGTCGCAGGGCGGGAGCTGGGAAGGTAACAGGGAGCCTGGCAGCAAGGGCAGGAAGGAACCGTCCAGGTCCACAATCTCGGTGCAGGAGGCTTGGGAGCTCATGCTTCTCAGGGTCTGTGCCATCAACCTCATGTGGGCCTGTGTGAAGTCCTGGAGGTGCATGGCTAATGCGTGTCTCTGCATCTGCACGACACCAGGACAGACAACGTTCAGCTTTAGTTCGTTAGTTAGTTCATTAGTCTAGTCTCAGTCAACCCTAGCGCAGGACAAACTAAACGTTACCTTCATTAAGCTCTTTGAGACGGATCGAAGACGCAATAAGGCTCTGTATCAGATGCAAGGATTATTATTATGGAGCCCTGTAACTCGGTGGTCAGCGCCCTCACCTCGCAAGCGAGGGTTCGATTACCAGGCAGGGCAAAACCTTAAGCAACTTTCCTTACTCCACGAGCCTCTGTTTACCTAGCGGTAGGTAGGAAGCGGGTTGTTAAGTCGATTGGTGAATCGCTTTTCCCGTGGCTAATAATCCCTTCAAAAAAAATAAAAATAATAATACTTTGGTCACTCAATCCACGACTGTTTGTGGGTCGCTGCTGTGCGCAATTGGCTGCCACATTTCACCCCCAAAATGTACAGTCACTACACTTTGCAGTATATTCTGTGAAGCGCTTTGTGATAAGGCGCCGTATCAAATGCAAGGATTATTGTTATCATCATATGTTGACACTCACCTTCTCTGGGCAGCCAAACATGCTGAAGGTGCAGGGCATGGGCGCCTTGGGACAGTCCAGGTCATAGTGGTTCGGCATCTGCGTGAGAGTAGAAACGAAACAGTGAAGCCGGGGATGAAAGGGAACAGGGGTTGGGTGTCCTCGCTGCCTCCGCTTTGGTTGTCCTGTTGCCTCTGAACACTCGGGAGGTCCCTAACATCCAAAGGCCTGAATCTCTCTCTCTCTCTCTGCCTCAGGCCACATGAAGTACCGTCACTCAGCAATGGAAATCTCAACTAACAGTTGCGCTCGCAAAGGGAGCTCCTTGCGACATCGCTAATTCAAGGAAACTTGGCCTCTTCCTACCTCCAATTATCCAACAACATATTGCATTTATACAGCGCCTTTCATGTGAGGAGGATGTCCTGATTATGCCAGGTTTACATCCCTTGCCTGGCCCCAAATTTTCCCCCAAATTCAGCCGTTTACGTGCAGCACGTGGCTGCCGAGGACTGGACACTGCGTTTTGGGCAAGTCACAAAATTCACTCCATTCCCGAGTCACGGCACTTTACAGTAAACCCTGTGAAGCACGTTTTGAGACGTGTGAGATGAGGCGCTGTGTGAAACGCGAGGGTTGCTATCGACTCTTATGACGATTTTTGTGAAAAAACAAGCGTTTCAAGTTGTTGTTGTTCAGGCAGTTGTTCTCACTCACCTGTTCGCGGATCAGCTCCATGTTACAGTATTCACAGGTTACGTTGGCGAGTGGACAGTTCAGGTTATGGCCCTGAGACAGAAACAGAGGGGAGATTTCAGCACCGGAAGTGGGAACGATTAGACCATAAGAACATAAAAAACGCTGGACCAACAAAGACCAAGGTCCATTTAGTTCGCCTTCCCCTTTCCTGGCGGTCGCAGGCATATATGTCCCGAACTCCCTGTGTATTATACCCCATGATGTTATTACCTAAAAGAAAATTATCTCATCTGTGTTTGAAGGAATCAACATTTCTTGCTTCAACCATCTCCCCAGGGAGCCTGTTCCACAGGTTCACTATTCACTATAGGTTAGAAGCAGATACCACACCCTCGCTCCTCACTGCTCTTCAACGTCACACGGAGTGTGAAAGGAATAAAGTGCTTTCAGACGATTTGATACAGTGATGTAAGTATTAATGTGTGTGAGTGTGTATGTCAGGCAATATAAGCTGATGGTACAATCTTAAAGTGGGTGAAGTTGGCAGGACAGATAGATAAAGCTGTTAAAAAAGCACACGGGATACTAGGCTTTATAAATAGGGGCATAGAATACAAAAGTCAGGAAGTTATGATGAATCTTTATAAAACACTGGTGAGGCCTCAGCGAGAGACTGTGTCCAGTTCTGGACCCCACACTTTAGGAAGGATGTCAAGGCATTGGAGAGGGTGCAGAGGAGATTTCCCAGGATGGTACCAGGAATGAGGGACTTCAGTTATCAGGAGAGGTAGAGAAGCTATGATTATTCTCCTTGGAGCAGAGAAGGTTAAGAGGAAACTTAATAGAAGTTTTCAAAATTATGAGGGGATTCGATAAGGTGAACAAGGAGAAACTATTTCCACTGGCGGGTGGGTCGGTAACCCGAGGACACTGATTTAAAATAGTTGTTAAAAGAAACTGAGGGGATGTGAGGAGAAATGTTTTCACACTGTGAGTTGTTTGGATCTGGAATGCATTGCTGGTGGAAGCCGGTTCGATAATAGCTTTTAAGAGAGAAGCAGATAATTATTTGGGGAGGACAAGTTTGTAGGGCAAAAGGGAGAGAGCGGGGGAGTGGGGTTGATTTGGAAGATCTTTACAAAAAGCCGGCACCGACACGATGGGCCGAATGGCCTCCTTCTGTGCTGTATAATTCTATGATTGTACATTAAGAACAATTGTGTGTGTATGTGTGTGTGTATATATATGTGTGTGTGTGTGAGTGGGGGGAAATTTCAGGCTTTGGGAGGGGGAGGAGAGACGTGCTGTATGATTGTGTGTGACAGTGCGTGTGTTTGTGAGAGTGTGTGAGAGTGTGTGTGTGTGTGAGAAAGTGTGTGTGTGTGTACATGGTGTGTGTACGTGTTGGTGTATGTATGTATGTTGGTGTGTGTGTTGGTGTGATGAGTGTGTCTATGTGTTGGTGTGTATGTGTGTTGGTGTATGTGCGGGCGTGTGTACGCGTTGGTGTGTCTATGTGTGTTGGTGTGCGTATGTATGTTGGTGTGTGTGTTGGTGTATGTGTTGATGTGTGTGTGTGGGGGTGGGGAGGGAAGAGCTGGTGGAAGTGCTCACGTGCCTGGATGTCCTGGTACGGCATGAGCATGGCACAGTTGGCACAGGAGACTGGCCGCTTGGGGCACTTGGAGTCCGTGTGTTCCTTCAGGTCCTTCTTCAACAACGCAGCATCGCACAGCAGGCACTCCACAAACGCATAGTCGCACTGCCCGCTCTTGTGATCCTGCACCGGGCACGAGAAACCAGTTACCACACCTCCTGCCCACTGATACCCCCTCCTCCACTGCCGTCGCCCCCTTCCCCAGTCTCCCCCCCCCCCCCCAACTCAGTCTCCCCGCTCCCCAGCCATCCTGTAGTGGAGTCTTGTAGTGTAGCAGTGTAGCCTCGCTCGCCTCGCAAGCAAGAGGACTCGGGCAGTTCGGGGCCAAAACCTGAGGCAAGTTTCCTTAATCAACTCACCTATGTTTACCGACAGTTAAGTCAGAACCCCGATTGGCGGGTTGCCTTTCCTGGGGTGAATAATCTCGCCCACAAAACACAGTCACTCAACTTTATCCTGTATTCTGTGAAGCGCTTTAAGACATCTCAACGACGTGATAAGGCGCGATATCAAGTGCAGGGATTATTATTATTTATTATTATTATAATTATCCAAGGCCTCTCTCTCCCCCCCCCCCCACCCCACACACACACACTGATTTAAAGCTGTGAAGATCAGACAGGTGGGCCCCACCTCCAAGTGACGTAGCTCCATCCTCTGGTAACAGCCCTTGTTGGGGCACTTGACCATCAGGGAGAGAATTTCCCTCTTGGCAAAATTATCCGGGAAAAGCTGCGTTTCAAGCAACATCTCATTGTCCACGGGACACTTCTGCCCGGCGTCTCTGCGATCAGACAGGAGAGAGACAGTTACATACAGCGCACACTCCACCCCTCTGTCAACCCCACTCCCCCTGTCAACCTCACTCCCCCCATCAACCCCACTCCCCGCGTCAGCCCCATTCCCATCAACCCCACTCCCCCCCTCATCACCGCCCCGCCCCGCCCCCCACCTGCATTTGATGCAGCACCTTATCACGTCTTCGAGACGTCTCGAAGCACTTCACAGAATGTACTGTAAAGTGCAGCGACTGTGTATTTTGCGGCCGAAATATCGGTCGATGCACCTCAGCGAGACTTTGCCGCGCACCGTGTCGGCCGCCTGCAGAAACACACAGTCACTGCGCTCGTCGCCAATTCCCCGTGAAGTTCTTCGAGGCGCTTCAGTGCTGTGAGGGCGCCGGGTCAAACGCAAGGAGATCGATTAAAAATGTCTATCGTCCATCTGGTCGCTGCCGCGACTCAATAGCTGATGTGACTGTGTCCTCCGGTGGCCACTGTAAGCACAGCAGTTTGTTACCGAGAAGCCGTCCAGAGAAACAAGTCAAGATGGAAGCGAGAGAGATGCCAAGCCTGGGGATTGTCGGAGGGGGAGAGAGAGAGAGAGAGAGAGAGAGGGGGGGGGGCTGAGGGAATCTCAGGGAGCAACATAGAGGAGACACTTACATAGATATTTGTGAGGTAAGGGCATCGAGGGACAATAATATTAATAATAATCCTCGCCTTTGATACAGCGCCTTATCACGTCTTTGAGACGTCTCGAAACGCTTCACGGTCTGCACTGCAAAGTGGAGTGACCGGGTATTTTGTGGGCGGAACCGGCAGCCCCGACTGCGCACGGCAGCGTCCCCGCAAAACAGTCGTGGGTTAAGTGACCACGTTTTGTTTCAAGAGGTTTTTCTTGGAAGGGTTTATTTTTTTCTTGAAGGCACGTGAGGCAAGGGCGGGCAATTGGAGTTGAGGTACAGATCAGCCGTGATCTTACAGAATAGCGGAACGGGCTCGAGGGGCTGAATGGCCTCCTCCTCTCCTGCTTCTAAGAGACAGGGACAGCTCATTGACCCAGGCCACTGACATCACTGAGGAGAGAGGGAGGAGAGAGGGGAGAGAGATGTAGGGGGGCGGGTGGGGGAGAGAGAACACGGTGAGAGAGGTAGAGAGGGAGGGGGAGAGAGAGGGGAGAAAGAGGGCGGAGAGGGCAGAGAGGGGAGGGAGAGGAGCTGAATCCTGGGCTGGGACTCTTCAGAGAGTCAGTGACAACGAGGAAACAGTGCGCTGTGTGTGTTGCATATCAACACCGAGGGCAATTGGACCAGTCTTTCTGCCCCCACCCTCTGGAACTCCTGGACCTCCTTCCCAGTCCCTCGGCCTCGCTCCTCCCTTCCCTTCCTCCCTCCCTCCCGCCCTCCTCGCTTCCTTAAAGCCACGTCTCAAAACCCTCCTCTTCCACCGCGCTTTCAGCCACCCTCACTGAACCCAACCCCCACCCCCCCACCACACCCCCGTCACCCAGCCCAAGCTTCTGACTCGGGCGGGAGGTGACGGCACAACCCGCTGCCCCACAGGCTGACAACACACCTGATGGACTTGACGATGCAGCCGCGACAGAACCTGTGCCCGCAGGGTGTCTGCACGGCCTCCCGCAGCGCCATCAGGCAGATCGGACACTCGTACTTGCTCTCCAGGGCCGGCTCGAAGTCCACGTCGTAGCCCTGCGTGTCCTCGGGGAGGGGCTGGGAGCACGGCCCATTGACCCCGCAATCCTCCTTCATCCCCACAGCGCAGGCCGCAGAGCAAGCGCTCTGGAACCCCCCCTCACAGGACAGGTCGTCCTCTACTTCATTCATCGGAGCCGTGGTGGGGGTAGGGGAGGTGTGTGGTTGGTGGTGGGGGGGGTGTGGGTGGGAGGGGATGCAGAGCCGGGCTCAGTTCCCCAAGCGGTACATCGTCCTGCAAAGTAAGGTCACAGTGTCAGTTTATCCCACAGTTGTATTGTCCCAACCCAACTCTCGCCCCCAACCTGCCCTGCACCCAGTGTTCCTCTTAACCCACCCATCCCAACCTGACCCCCTCCCACCCCCCACCCGCCCCTCCGCACCCAGCGCCCGGACCCCGTCACAAAGAATTGTATTTTCTAAGAACTGGCGTTGCAGGATGTGGTTTAAAGAGATGCCATCTCTTTCCGTTAGTCTACAGCTGAGAGGCCTGAGCCCACAATCCCTCTCGCAGTGGCTGTGGGGAACCAGGACAGCGGGACTCCGAGCCGGTCACTTGAAACCTAGTTTCCTGACCCAATCCAACTGACACTTTCTGTTCCTGAGCTAAGCGCGTGTTCGGAATCCTACTCGACCCCCGATATTGACCGTGCAGCTCTCTCATAATGGGACACACATTAATAATAAGAATAAAAATCCTCGCATTAGATACAGCGCTTTATCAGATCTTCGAGACGTCTCAAAGCGCTTCACAGGATTCACTGTAAAGTGAAGTGACTGTGTATTTTGTGGGCGAAACGTGGCAGCCAATTGCGCACCGCAGCGTCCCCACAAACAGTCGTGGATTGAGTGACCAATTTAGTATTTTTTTTCGGGGGGGAAGGTTTATTACCCCCAGAAAAGAGATCCGCCAATCGACTAACGACTGGGTTCCTACTTACTGCCGGGTAAACAGAGGCGTGTGGAGCGAGGAAACTTGCCCAAGGTTTCGCCCTGACCCGCCCGGGAATCGAACCCGGGTCCTCTCGCTTGCGAGGCGAGGGCTCTGACCGCTGAGCAACAGGACTCGACGTGGACATTTAACATGGATAGATTTACAGTGTAATATTCCTGACCTGCACAGGCACATCTGCATATATACCCCCCCCCCATACACTGAAGGAGGGAGGGAGTGTGGGGGAGACACAGAGAAAGAGAGGTGGGTGGGGATGGCGTGAGGGTGCAGGGAGTAGGGGGGAGAGGGCTGGAGTTTTTGTAGGATCGCAGGACACTCCCCCCTCCCTGTGACACACTCATGAAACTCAACCTGTTAAGACGATGAGAATCATAAAGACCTCAGAGTGGGGAGTAAAGTAATTTAAAGTAACAGAGGCAGCAGTAGGTTCCCATCATATCGTGGAATCACAGAATTACACAGCGCAGAAGGCGGCCATTCGGCCCATCGTGTCTGTGCGCTTCTTTGAAAAGAGCTTCCAAATCAACCCCACTCCCCCCGCGCTCTCCCCATAGCCCCGATCAACCCCACCCCCACCGCTCTCTCCCCATAGCCCTGATCAACCCCACTCCCCCCGCTCTCTCCCCATAGCCCCGATCAACCCCACTCCCCCCGCGCTCTCCCCATAGCCCCGATCAACCCCACTCCCCCCGCGCTCTCCCCATAGCCCCGATCAACCCCACCCCCACCGCTCTCTCCCCATAGCCCCAATCAACCCCACTCCCCCCCTCTCCCCATAGCCCCAATCAACCCCACTCCCCCCGCGCTCTCCCCATAGCCCCAATCAACCCCACTCCCCCCGCGCTCTCCCCATAGCCCCAATCAACCCCACTCCCCCCCCGCGCTCTCCCCATAGCCCTGATCAACCCCACTCCCCCCCACTCTCTCCCCATAGCCCTGATCAACCCCACTCCCCCGCGCTCTCCCCATAGCGCTGCAAACTTGTCCTCCCCAAATAATTATCTATTATTTGGTTCTCCGCTCTACACAAATCCTACTTAATCCATGAAGTTAATCACAAACATTTCGTCCACAAAATATAGTCAATTCACTTCATACTATATTCTGTGAAGCGCTTTGAGACGTCTCAAAGACGTGATAAGGCACTTTATATCAAATCTAAGAATTATTGTTAAGGCAAAGATTATTATTTTAATAACAACAACAAAATTACATGTGTACAGCGTCTTTCACAGGAGAACATCCCAAGATGCTGGACAGTCAGTGTTTCGGACCCGAGCTGGGGGTCAGGTTTGGGGAGGGTTGGGGGGGGGCACGGTAGAAGGGGGCCTTGAGATGGGTCTTAAAGGAGACGAGGGAGGGGGTGAGGCAGAGGGACTGTGGGATGGAGTTTCAGAGAGTGAGTGCAGAGTGGCTGAAGGCCCACCCACCAACGGTGGGTCGGGCGAGGCGGGGGATGTGAAGCAGGCCGGTGCCCGCTGAGCGGAGGGAGCGGGCAAGAGGACGGGGGGAGTAAGACCATGGAGGGCTTTGATGGTGAGGACCAGGATGTTGAGCTGTATCCTCTGTGTGATGGGAAGCCCGTGGAGTCGGGCGAGGATAGGGTCGTGGAGGCTGGTGAGGGAGAGGACCGGGGCTGCAGAGTTCTGGATGATCTGCAGCCGGGGGAGGGAGGAGTTGGGAGTAGTCGAGCCTGGATGTAGTGAAAGCGTGTGTGAGGGTCTCGGGGGCCCTGCGGTGTGAGACAGTACAGTGTCGGAGCCGGGCGATGTTGCGGAGGTGGGGGAAGGCAGAGCGGGTCATGGCGGAGATATGGGGTAGTAAGGAAGGGGTCGAACAAGACCCCGAGGTTCTGGACCGGCTCAGTGAGGCGGAGTGTGATGCTGTCAGCGACTGAGGTGATTTTTAACTCGTGTTTTGCACGAGACCCTGACATCACGTTGCACACGGAGTCACGCAAGAACACGCGGAGTCACGCAAGAACACGCAAGAACACATGGGGTCACGCAAGAACACAAGGGGTCACGCAAGAAAGAGCGGGGCCACGCAAGGAAGCGCGGAGTCACGCAAGAACACACGGAGTCACACAAGAATGCACAGGGTCACGCGAGAATACAAGGGGTCACGCAAGAAAGCGCGGAGTCACACAAGAACACGCGGAGTCACACAAGAATGCACAGGGTCACGCAAGAACACGCGGAGTCACGCAAGAACACGCGGAGTCACGTATGCAGAAACTCCTTTGAATTTCTTGCCCTGCGAGAGTTTTGTCCGAATCACAAGTTAATAATAATAAAAATTGCATTTGATACAGTGCCTTATCACAACTTCGAGACATCTCAAAGCGCTTCATTGCATGTACTGTAAAGTGTAGTGAATGTATATTCTGTGGGAAAAACGCGGCAGCCAATTGCGCACAGTACATTGAATATATTATATGGCTATATAAACTTCACTTATAGTGCACCTTTCATACAGGAAAATGTTTGGAAGAACACTTGCAGGGAGCGTGTGGATCACCGAGTAGGTGAGGAGAGTGATGTAGGAGGAAGGTGCGCTCAGAGCTGGGCTTTGGAAAGTGGGGGAATCGAGGGAATTGTTTGGAACATTTAGAGATGAGAGACAGAGTGGGTGGGTGAGTGTGAGTGAGTGTGTGAGTGAGTGTGAGCGAGTGTGAGCAAGTGAGAGAATCACTGAGAAAGTCAGTGAGAGAGTGTGAGAATGTGAGTGAGTGTTAGTCTGTGATTAAGTGAGAGTATGGGTGAGTGAGTGAGAGAATAATGTGTGAGTGAGTGAGTGAGTGAGTGAGTGAGTGAGTGAGTGAGTGAGTGAGTGACAGAGCGAGAATGATTGAGAGTGAGAGAGTTTTGAGTGAGAGTGAGTAAGCGAACAAGCGAGTGAGAGACCGTGTGTGAGTGAGAGAAAGTGACTGAGAGTGAATGAATGAGCGAGTGAGAATGGCTGAGTGAGTGAGAGAAAGTGAGAGTGCGTGAGTGAGAATGAGTGAGATTGAACGAGTGAGAGTGAGCGAGTGAACGGGTGAGTGAGTGAGTGAGTGAGTGAGTGAGTGAGTGAATAAATGAGCAAGTGAGAATGGCTGAGTGAGTGAAAGTGAGAGTGTGTGAGTGAGAATGAGAGAGTGAGTGAGAGAGTGAGTAAGAGTGAGCGAGTGAGCGAGTGAACGGATGAGGGAGGGAGGGAGGGGGGAAGAGACGGGGAGAGAGAGAGAAAGTTTTTTAGGGCTGAGGGTAACCTCAGAGAATCAGTGTCAGTGACGGTGAAGTAAGAGAGTGAGTGTTTGAGTGAGAAAGAGAGTGAGAGAGAGAGTGAAATGGAGTCAGAGTGTGAGAGTAGTTAGAGTGTGAGTGAGAGAGTGAGTGAGAGAGGAATGAGTGTGAGTGAGTGATAGAGTGAGAGTGAGAGAGTGTTTAGGGCTGAGGGCAACCTGCAGAGTCAGTGAGTGAGAGAGTGAGTGTGTGAGTGAAAGAGTGAGTGTAAGTGAAATAGAGTGTGAGTGAGAGAGTATGAGAAAGTGACAGAGTGAGTGAGAATGAGTGAGTGAGAGTCAGAAAGAGAATGAGAGAGAGTGTGAGTGAGAGAATTGTTTAGGGCTGAGGGTAATCTGCAGAGAATCGGTGAATGAGTGAGAGAGAGTGTGAGAGTGAGAGAGAGTGAGAGAGTGAGTGAGAGGGTGTGAGAGAGTGAGTGAGTGAGAGAATGAGAGTGAGTGAGTGTGAGAGAGAGAGAGAGAGGGGGAGTGAGAGAGAGAAAGTGAGTGAGTGAGAGAGTGAGTGAATGAGTGAGAAAGTGAGAGAGTGAGTGAGTGTGAGAGAGTGAGTGAATGAGAGTGAAAGAGAAAGTGAGAGAGTGAGAGTGAATGAATGAGCGAGTGAGAATGGCTGAGTGAGTGAGAGTGTGTGAGTGAGAATGAGAGAGTGAAAGTGAGTGAGAGCGAGTGAGTGAGTGAGAGAGAGAGAGAGTGAGGGAGGGAGAGAGTGAGGGAGGGAGGGAGTTTTTTAGGGCTGAGGGTAACCTGCAGAGAATCAGTGTCAGTGACGGTGAAGTGAGTGAGTGAGTGAGTAAGAGAGAGTGAGAGAGAGAGAAAGTGAGTGAGTGAGTGAGAGAGAGTGAGAGAAAGAGTGAGAGAGTGAGTGAATGAGAGAGTGAGTGAGTGAGAGGAGAGTGAGTGAGTGAGAGAGTGAGTGAGTGAGAGAGAGAGAGAGTGACGGCCTCGCGCTCACCTGTTGTCCGGGGTCAGGGGGGCAGTGGGGGGTGGGGGGGGCAGTGGGGGGTGTGGGGGGGCAGTGAGGGCAGTGGGGGGGCAGTGGGGGGGGTCCGGCGGCTCTCAGGCACTGATTTCCCGCCGCTCAGGAGCTGCACTTCACTTCACTTCCGTGATCAGCCCCCGGGCCCGGGCCTCCCCCCCCCCCACAGCGCCCTCCCGCACCGGCTCCACCTGCCGGTCAGCCCGCGGCACTGCAGCTCCCACACCCCACAGCGCCCCCCACAGCGCCCTCCCGCACCGGCTCCACCTGCCGGTCAGCCCGCGGCACTGCAGCTCTCAGGCCATCACAGCTTCACCACCGTCATCACACAGCACAGGAGGAGGTCACTCACTCTCTCACTCACTCACACTAACATTCACTCACATTCACTCTCTCACTCACACTCCTCACTCTCACTCACACACTCTCTCACTCACTCTCACACTCACTCTCACACTCACTCTCTCACTCACTCTCACACACTCACTCACACACTCCTCACTCACACACTCACTTACACACTCACTCTCACACACTCACTCACACACTCCTCACTCACACACTCACTTACACACTCCTCACACACTCACTCACTTACACACTCACTCTCACACACTCCTCACTCACACACTCACTCACACACTCACTCTCACACACTCCTCACTCACACACTCCTCACTCACACTCACTCACTTACTCACACACTCACTCACTCCTCACTCTCACACTCCTCACACACACACTCCTCACACACACTCACTCTCACACTCACTCACACACTCACTCAGATTCTCACACTCATTCTCTCACTCTCACACACACTCTCACACTCTCGTCACTCACTCTCTCACACTTACACACTCACACGTTCACTCATATTCTCTCACACACACCAACTCACTCACTCACACTCACATTCTCACTAACTCTCACACTGACACACGGTCACTCACATGCTCATAACTCACAATCACACACACTCACTCACACACACATTCAATGCTCACACTCTCTCACTCACACACACGCTAGTAGAGGACCTGGGTTTGATTCCCCGACAGGTCAGGGCGAAATGTTGAGCAATTTCCTTATTCCACACACACAGTTCTGTTCACGCGGCAGTCAATAGGAACCTGGTTGTTCGTCTCTTGGTGGATGGTTTTTCTGGGAGTAATAATACCTTCCAAAAAATAATAATAATTTGGTTTCTCAATCCACAATTGTTTGTGGGACGCTGTGCGCGATTGGCTGCTGCGTTTCGCCCCAAAAATACACAATTCGTGTGAAGCGCTTTGAGACATCTTGAAGATATGATAAGGCGCTATAATAATATAATCCTTGCATTTGGTACAGCGGCTCATCACATCCTCGAGACATCTCAACAATTCACAGAGTACCGTAAAGTGAATTGACTGTATATTTTGTGGGCAAAATGCGGCAGCCGATTGCGCACCGCAGCGTCGCACAAACAGTCGTGGATTGAGTGACCAAACAACGGTGTTATGGAATCTTTTACGTTCCCCCCTTGAACAGGGACCTGGGGGTTGAACATCTGATCTGAAGCACTTTGAAAGGTTGTCTCAACGCCTTTGCCCGGATTTACGGTCAAGTCTATTGACTGTGCGTATTGCAGGGAAATAGTGCTGCGTGTGGCAACATCCCGTCCCACCAACAGCCACCGGTGAGTGAGTGACCAATGGAGTGAGCGTCCGGTTTTATTTGGGGGATTGTCGCCCACGACAGCGAGAGTGGGGGACACTCCCGGCTCTGTTTGACCAGCGCCGCGGGGTCCACATAACGCCCACCAGAACAGGACCTCGGTTCAACATCTCATCCGAGGGTCACGTCTCCAACAACATAGCACCCCCTCCCCCTCCCCCTCAGCGCTGCGTTGGAGCCTCAGCTCAGACTGTGATGTGGGGTCGAACCCACAACCTTCTGACTCGGGGGTGAGAGCGCGAGCGATGGCCACACGCGGTGTACGTGACAACAACAACAAGATTCCATTTATTGAGCGCCTTTCACGTCGGGAGGACGTCCCAAGGCGCTGTACAGTTGGGTCAGGACCCGAGCATTGGGGGTAAATGGTCAGGGTGAGGGGAGGGAAGGGAGGGAGCGAGGAGGGGGTAGAGAGTCGAGAGCGGAGCTGAAGGGCAACGAGAAAGGTCTTGAGACCGGCCTTGAAGGAGGAAAGGGAGGAGGCGGCGAAGGCACTGGGGATAGAGTTCCAGAGCCTCGGGGCTGAGAGGCTGAAGGCCCGGCCACCGATGGTCGGGCGGTTGGGGCG